ACACAGCACAGCAAGGGTACATACAAGTTCAAGGAAAGACACCCTGGCTCCACCATTAATGCTCATAACCAATCAGCTCTAAAATTTGCACCAACAGAAAACTGGATTCATTCCCAGATGCCTGGGTTCTTTCCAAAATAAAACTGCTTACAACAGAGTACTTGAGGTCCACCAATAAAGGAATGATTAAACAGTGTTACATTTATATGGGAGAACACTATGTAGCCATTTAAAGACTGGGCGATTACAGTAAAATATCAGCTCCATGAGGGCAGGGACCTGCTCTGCTTCAATATTTATTCTCAGTGCCTATAAATAGTGCCCTGCAGAGTAGCCACTGGAGGGAGGGAGAAAAGGGAGAGGAGAGAATGAATGTAAAATGAACAAATAAACAAATTTCTGCATAGTAAAACTCTGATTTTTATTCTCTTATTTTTTTTCTTAGTCTTGGTTTCTGAATAGTCTACAAGGAATGGGTATTACATGGAAGGTGGGAAAACAGAACATGATTTCATNTCTTCGTCTTGGTTTCTGAATAGTCTACAAGGAATGGGTATTACATGGAAGGTGGGAAAACAGAACATGATTTCATAGATAGCCTCGTCACACGTACGCGATCTATAAGCCCTTTCTGCTTCAATCAGAGAGATCATGTGCCTAGTCAGTCTGGCAAATGGCTCCTTTCCTATGACCTTAGATAGCTCAGCCCTGGCTCCTCCTGCCTCCTGGTGGCTTGGTGACTCTGTCAGGGGAACCAGAGACGCCCCAGCAGATCAGTACTCATTTCCTCCCCATCATCTCTTCACCCTCCCACCTTTCTGGTGCTCTCAGACCACTACTTCAACATTGATTAAATTCCACCAATAAGGTAACCACAGTAATGAACACCTATGGAGCACTTACTATATCCTAGGTACCAAAGACTTGCTTCCTTACTCCTCCTAATTATAGCAGAAGGATGACCAAGGATCGGGTGGGTAACTCACCTGCTCCAGATCACATGACTGGTAAGTATGGGAACTCAGGCCATCCATTACAGCCCAAACTTTTAATTACTGTGCTAACCACCTCTTGCAATGCACTGAGCACTTACTATATGTGGAACTTGGGTCAAAGATCTAATGTGTGCCCACATGGGACCTGATGCCTTCTGCATGCCAGCCTGGCATCGAGTGCCTACTATGAGCTAACCTGGGGTTGAGGGCCTACTGTGTGCTGAGCTGGGGCATGCAGAACAGAAAGCACAATGTCATCATAGTGCTATAAAAGTAAAAACAATGATATAAAGTAACAGTAAGGATAGCCAATGTGCATTAGGGGCCTGTGTTCTCATTTTAGATGTAATATTTCCAGCCCTCCCAGTCACCCTGGGACTGTCAGGATCCCCATTTTACAGACCAGAAAACTGAGGCACAGAGGAAAGGATGTCCTTGCCCAAGGCCACACAGCAACTGAGAGAGGCAGAGCTGGGATGTGAATCTAGAGGTTTTCTGATTCCAAAGTGTCCTGGCTGTTGAAATAAAAAAGGGCTTGCACTAGGCTGGGTGGGCGGCTGAATCCTAGATGGGCTGAGATAGGGAAAGGGAATTCCAGCTGGAGGGAATCTCTACAATCAAAGTCCTAAAGGCTGGGAGTATTAATGTCAGGCTGCAGGTGCACACAGAAGGATGAGGGGAGCTATTGGGCAGAAGATATTGGTGGAGACAACCTGATTGGAATGCAGATTAGAGAGCCTATGCTTTAATTCAATGGGCAGAGGGGAGTCAAAGAAGGTTAATGAGCAGAGGAGTGACTTGATTAGAGATGTGCGTTCGGAAGAGTTAATCCAGCAATGGGTGGGGAGGGGGCAGAACGAATATAAGGCGAGAAAGAGCAAGGGTTAAGAACTATTGCAAATGCCCTGGCTGGTGTTGCTCTTTGGTTAGAGCGTCAGCCTGATCGCTGAAGGGTCGTCATTGCACCTGAAAGATCTCTGACCACAAGCACTGACTGAAGCATGGGACAAAGGCAGGAGCAGAGATGGTGACAGAGCTGTTAGTGCACGAGGAGGGGCCAGGTGTGTCCACACACCAGAAGAGCCAGTGCAAGGCCACAGAGGGTTCAGATCCTGCCAGCAGAAAGAAACAGGAGAGGAGGGCCCAACAACTTTCCAGACGGGTGACCTTCCAGAAAAGAGCTGCAGGGGACAAGGAGGCAGGTTTGGGGGCTCAGGGGAGATGAGAGTGGGAGCTGGACAGGCAGATTCCATTCTGGAAAATGCTAGGGAAAGACAAGAGAAGGAAGACAGTAGCCAGAAAAGAGAGAGCGAGAGGAGGGAGCAAGAGAGATAATAACTTAGGAGGAACTGTCAGAGAGGGGAGAGAGCCCAGGAGGAAACCCACACTCCCATCCCTACAGCCCAGAGTGATGGAGGCAGAGACTGGTACCCTTTCCAGACTTCCCAGTTCTCTGTGCACCTTGTGAGATGTTTGGAAACAGGAAGCCTGTTCTAGAAGGGACCCTCAGGCCTTCAGGACACCTAGCTGGAATTAGGCCCATCATGAAAATGGGTAAACATGCCTTTTGTAACTGCAAACAATCCCACAAACCCCAATCAGAACCTGTTGTCCCACTGAAGAAGCCCCAAGACTTGGAGATGAGAATCTAAACCACTTCCTTAGAGTGAAGAGGCCAAGAGGATGGGGCTTAGAGCTAGTTTAGCTGTGTGATCTCAGGCAAGTCACTTAACCTCTCTGGGCTTCGGTTTATACATCTGCGGAAGGGGAAAAATCTCAGTAACAAAGACAAGGCATGCAAAGTGCAGTGACTGATGGATAAAGTTACTAGTTGGTGTTCCGATTCTTTTGACACTAGGTTATAAGGACATAGCAGTGGGAAGGAACAAGCTTTTCTGAGAGGGGCAAGAGCAGACATAGCACCCATAACTCACCTATACATTTATCCAACAGATGGGTGGGGAAAGAAAGGCAGACTTCCAGCCAAAGCAGATGGAGCCTTGGGATCCCATGGTCCATTCATAAGATCAACAAGCAGCAGGGAAAGCATTTTTAGTTCCCCTGCCAGAGATTCCCTGCTCCCATCCCTGTGCTTGGGGGAAGGGTCAGAGCAGAAAACCACAAAGCCCAAGGGAGGAAGGAAGTGTTCTCTGACCCAAGCAAGCCCTTCCAGCTTTCCAGGCCCAATAGCCAGGAGCATCTGTTAGGAATCTTCTGACCGGATGGTCTGTCTTCCCCAGGTCACCTTCTCCTACTTGGTGGAAAGAACAGTAGCTTCAGACGGAGGGTGGGATGGGTGGCCAGCAGGAGGAAAGAAGCTGCTAGTTTACTGTCCCCAAGTCCAGGGAGGAAGAAAGCTAGCCTGTGAGACAAAGCTTCCGAGCTGGCAAGGCAAAAAATACTGCTGAGTATCCCAGTTGTACACCAAGTCCGGGGAAAGTCAAAAGTTTGCATTTATTCTACTTGCAACAGCATTTGCCACTGGGGTGGAAGGAGGGAAGTGGTTGACACAGGGCTCCTGAGTTGGGGGCCTGGGTCCAAATCCTGACCCACCAACTCTCTACAGGAGGCCCTGTGCACCTTATGAAGTGTGAGTCGTTCGTTATAGCACTTTATGAACCAACCAATCCTTTACAAAAGCAATGAGTGAATGTCTAGAGGCAGCTCTCAGGGAGACATTTTAGTTGGGAAAACATTAAAAAAACAACACACCACACACACACAAAGAACCTAGTACCACCCAGCCCATGGCATATACTTTATAAATATTCTTTGAATTAGACTAAATGCAAAATATCATTTGATTAAGGAAACAGTTAGGGAAAGGGGCAGTCATGTGATGCTCAGCTCAATTTTTGTGTTTTTATTTATTCAGAAATGACCATGTAGTGTGTATGGGCATGTTCCTGAACACGTGGCATACATTGACTCACTTACACTCACAACAGCCCTCCAAGATTACAGGTGAGGAAACTGAGGCACTGAAAGGCTAAGGAACTTATTTGCTCCAAACCATATACAGCTAGGAAGTGGCCACTCAGGGATTCAAACCCACCCACCAGGCTGGCTCAGGGTCCCCACCCTAACCTTCAGGCTGCACAGTCTTTGTCTGAATATGTTTCCATGCTAGAGACCAGAAGCCAGGGAGCCCACTCCCCAAACTCAGCTAGAAAGGGCCTTATCACCAATAATGCTGAGCCTTTGCCTCTATTGAGGAGCTTATGGTTAAACACACACCCCGTGTTCTTTCCTTTGAATGGTTCAACACACCGGGGAAGTGCACAAAGTTTTAAAATCTTAAGTATTTTGCTTGATGTTTTCTTACAGATGTGCACACCTCTTTAACCACCCCCCCATTGAAATACAGGACCTTTCCACCCCCACCCCAGCCTCTGTGTGCCCCCTCCCTGTCACTGGCTATCTACCCCAAAAGGTGACCACAGTCCTGACTTTTCACAACACCCATCAGCACTGCCTTTTCTACAATCTCATACAAATGGGATCCCACGGGGCGTACTCTCTATATCTGGCCCTGTGTTCTTCAAATAAGAAGCACATACATAAGCCCGCACACGGCCCACGACCGTGGCTGAAAGGAGGGTGCAGCTGATCGCTTGTGTCTCTTGCAGTAAGCTCCAGGATTGTTTTTATTTTGGCTCACGGACCGATCAAAGGGGAAAACGGGAGGGCTGAAGACTGGCATTGGGAACCTCGCGAGTGACGGTAGAAAACCAGTGACCCGCAGAGGGCAAGAGGACCTGTCCTGCCTGGAGAGGGTACTGCGGAGCCAGGGAGCCAGGAGGTCACCTCTGGTTGCTCTGAACATCCAGAGGGGAGGAGAAGGCTTTATGAGGCTTTAAAAGGCTCAAATCTGGTTCCTCCAAGCGCCAGAGGCACCCAAGGTGGCCACAGGCCCCTCCCAGTTTGGCCCCCGCTGCTCCTTCCCCAGACGTTGCTCATTTCCCAAAAGAGCAGTAATTTCCCCCCGAAAGGCGCGTCTCCTACCTGTACACTGTTGGATGAAGTCCTGATATTCCGCTCCCTGCTCTCCGGGGACGATGGTGGAGCCGTCATATTTAAAAGTCACCCTTTGGGTTGGGAGAAGAAAAAACACACACACACACACAGATCAGCGCTGGCAGCTGCATGGTGCCGAGCTTCCAGCAGGACAATCTAAAAGATGCTCTGGCTGGGGAGAAGCCAGCGCTGGCTTTCCACGCTGTCCCGGGTTAAAGCTGCGGAAGACAGCCCTGGGTGACCCTTAATCCGTCCCATCTGGAAGACGGCTCCGTGCACCAGGCCCATCGCGAGCTCGGGGAGCGGGGCCTCGGAGAGCAATGGAAAGCTCCTCACCAGATGACGGCCGAACCGTCGTCGCGCACCAGGTTGTACGCCTCCCGGCAAGCCTCTTTGTCGATCTTGGTGGCCATAGCCGCAGGGCCGCAGAGGGGACACTCCGCCCAGAGAGACCGAGCGCGTTCCGGGCCGGCTGCAGGGATGCGAGCGAAGCGGGGACGCGCGGAAAGCTGGCAGGAGACGGCGGCGCCGAGAGCCACGCGGGGCGGCGAGCTCCGAACTCCCTGCGCCTCGGAGGCTGCGAGTGCCG